ACTTGATTAGATTAGATGAACCTTTCCATTAGAGACAGACCATCTGATATTTGGGGCTGATATTAAGGTTTATCTCTCGTCGATGTGTGAAAGCGTTCTCTATTCATTAGTAATTCAGCAACCATGCCTTGGGATCCATTGCTGCTCCCTCCACCTGCTATGTTTGATTGATTTGTTGTTAAAGGTTTATATTTTGTTTAAAATGAGACTGTTGTAACATTTGTTATCATGGTGTCATTTGTATTGTGTAAATGGCGCTCCAAAACCGGCAGAACATATCTGGGATCAGTTAAACTGCTGTCAAAATTACTGGAATTGGCCTTAAAGTGTATTTTACTGGTTGATCTCTAGTTTCCATCACCTTCCTGCTTCAGCAGCTCTTCAGGTTTGGCTAACACTGCTTTAAACCTGGCAGAGTTGGATCTGCTCAGGCCCAAATACTGATTCCACATTTAAGGTAGAACCTTCTGGAACAGTTGGGTTTTCTAACCCTTTCCACAGTGTGGTTCTAACGCTGAGGGCCTCCTGGTGCCCTGCTGGGGCCAGTGTTAGGGCCTCTCTGATGCCAGGCAGCCTGAGCTTAAGGCCTGACCGACTCAGCCTCTGGAGTCATGCCTTTGTCCTTCAGGACTGCAGCAGCATTTCTCTCCTCTTTCTTGTTTTTCTTTGATCTTGGGAAACAAAAGGATCCAACATGGATGACTTCCGGGCTTTCCGCTGTGTCTTTGAGGCCACGGTCGCTGCTGATGAAGCAATAGTAACACCCCATTGAGCTCTGAGAGTGCTCTGTCTTCAGACTTTTCTTAGTCTCCTGCAAAAAAATGAGGTTAGGGCCACTGGAACAAAATGAAGAAATTCTAACTTTAATCTCAGAATTCTGACTGTTTTCTCAGCAGATTAAACACAAATAAAAAAAATATTTTTTTTTTCATTGCCCCTAATCCTCTTCAATAGAAACCGCCCAGTTTCTCATTACCATTCATCTGATCCACCTGCTCATCTCGATTTAACCTGCCTGCTTCCAGTCACCAGTGCCAGATTACTCAAGCAATATTCACAGATGTGATACATGGTATGATTCCCTACCCTTTGGATCACAATCACTGTCACGTGATACCACGTGACTGATCTTCTGATGGGTGAGGATACATGTTGATGGGTGAGGATAGATGTTAACTGGTGAAATTAGATGTGGATGGGTGAGGATAGATGTTGATGGGTGAGGATAGATGTTGATGGGTGAGGATAGATGTT